GACCACTTCCCTGACGGCTTGCCTGACTGCTTGCTTGACCAGTTCCCTGACCATAACCGCTTCCTTGACGGCTTGCCTGACTGCTTGTTTGACCACTTCCGCGACCACTTCCCTGACGGCTTGCCTGACTGCTTACTTGACCACTTGCCCGACCATAACCACTTCCCTGACCATTTCCTTGAAGGCTTGCCTGACCACTTCCCTGACCACTTCCTTGACGGCTTGCCTGACGGCTTGCTTGACCACTTCCCTGACCATAACTGCTTCCCTGACCATTTCCTTGACCACTTCCCTGACCGCTTGATTGACCATAACCGCTTCCCTGACCATTTCCTTGACGGCTTGCCTGACTGCTTGCTTGACCACTTCCGCGACCACTTCCCTGACGGCTTGCCTGACTGCTTACTTGACCACTTGCCCGACCATAACCACTTCCCTGACCATGTCCTTGACTGCTTCCCTGACTATAACCCCTTCCCTGAATGCTTACTTGACCACTTCCCTGACCATTTTCTTGACTGCTTCCCTGACCATTTCCTTGACTATATGCTTGACCACTTGAATGTCCACTTGCCTGACCATAACCGCTTCCCTTACCGCTTGCCTGAACATTTGCTTGACCGCTTCCCTGATGTTGAACACTTCCCTGACCATAACCGCTTCCCTGACTGCTTGGTTCACTGCATGCACGGCCACTGGTGGTTGGGCAACATGTCTGTGTGGCAGGACACTGGCCATCATGGAAACAGCTTTCAGCAGACAGTGGAATGTTCTTCGGGTTGGGACATTGACTTGGCTTCACTGCATGGTAACATAGTCAGCTTTAGTTTGTGCATATAGACAGTATGCCACGTCAATATACAGCACGAAACACTCAAAGCATGAATAGCAAGTTAATAACAAAGTGAACTATATTCTAAGTATTATTGCTCTTTATTTTGTAAAGCAATCCTGTGTTTAAAACCATCCTAAAGGATGAATTCTAACTTCCTTTGACGAGAATAACAAAAGGCTAAATTTATCATTTATCATCAACAACCAAAATAATATAACACAAATACCTGTATATGGAGCCGTACAGTAACGTCCGCATCCATTGCTGCAGCACTTCTCATCGTTGGGACAGTTACAGTCACTAGTACAGGACCAGGTACACAATCTTCTTACAGATGATAGGGGTGGACACTCTCCTGGCTTTGCTGTTATACAGACACATGACAGAAAGCATCACTGTGTGTGCGCGCGTGTTACATGTCAGGGGGGGCGCTAGCATCCATTATTAACTGAAACTCACTGGAAACAGGCGGCACGCAAACAGGCCCATGGTCAAATCGACAGCATTTGTGTCCTCCAGAGCAGTCGGTATCAGAAGAACATCCTCGACGGGACGGCAAGACTGCCAGCGTCGCCGGACAGTAACCGTCCACTAGAGGATTCAAGAGGATCATTAGGGGAAGCCAGGGAGTGCGGTTTCAGCACTTGTAAATCAGGGGTTTTGCAATGGATCTGAAACCTTAACACAAATTTAACATTTATCTGCTTCAAATCAAATGTTTTAAAACCTACTACTCATTCCAAATCCTACATTCAAAGACTGAAAGTCACTCATTTCTGCATTTCTTCAGGTGGTGTAATGAATTCAACAGATCTTCTCACCTGTGGGTCGTCTTTGAATAGCATCTGTAATGCTCAAGTATCCAAACAGACACGATAAAACCGCAATCAACGAGCGATGCACTCGAGCCATCATCCTCCTGACCTACGATTTCACAATGATCTCTGCTGGAAAATGTGCTGAACTGGTGCGTCAAGAGCAGCAGACAACAACGCGCACAAAACTAAAACGAATAAACGTGTTGCTGCAATATCAACCGCTGTAAAACCGCTGTTTTAAAGATCCAAGGAGATCAGGTCAACTCCAATCCTGATCAAACTCACCTGCCTGTAGCTGTCTAGTAATCAGACTGGAAGACCTTGATTAGCTTGTTCAGGTGTGTTTGATTGGGGTTGGACGAGCTGAATGCTGAGTTCACACCATGTCATAATTATTAAGGTAGCCTAATTACGAGAGGATTGTGCATTTCTGGCCCTGTCCCAAATGGCACCCTAAACCCTCGCGGTCTTCCTCTGAGTCCGCACTTTCATGACGTAATGCAGCGTTGACTGTCGGGTAGAAGTCTGCTGCGGAGCTCGCCCCAGTGCGGGATCAGCAGAAGTGCGGATCGGGGGCTCATAACAGCCTCAAAGGAGGCATTTACAAGCACCCTTCTGAACGCTAAAATGACGAATGGGACACCCTAAGGTCTCGTGGACTTAACGGACATGCGCACGCGGCGGCCACACACACAAATACACAGTGACACACACAAAGTGACACACACACACACACACACACAGTGACGCACACACGCAGTGACACACACACAGTGACGCACACACGCAGTGACACACACACAAAGTGACACACACGCAGTGGCACACACACAGTGACACATACAGTGACACACACACAGTTACAATATGCCATAATTCCAGCCAATCAGAGACGAGGCTGCTAACTTTTGATTGGCTGCCTTGACAACCAATCACAACATTCCTTGCATTACCTCGACAGCAGAAGAGAAAAAATACAGTGCATGCATAATTATTATGCAAGTTGATATTCAGATCATATTTTTTTCCATGCACATTTTACCAATGCCAAACAACATCAATCTTAATAACTACTATTAATCTTGTATTTAATCATTTAGAATTGATATATAATTATTCATGAAGACT